AAGTATATGACTGGCCATGCCCTAGTTGCTTGTGTGCCAACCCACAAATGTTGTGGTACTGCTGGCTTTGATTAGGTTCCATGTTGAACCACAACGTTAGTGGGTTGGCAGACAAGAGACTATGCCATAGGAAGTCATAGATTTGGTATTAGGGACAGAGACAGGATAGACGAGGCGGCGATTGGAGCTAGTTGGCTGACAGTAGGTTTTACAAGGGACGTGGTTCATGTAGCAAAGGCATAACCATGAGACTTACTCTGATCAATCACCCAGGTGCAGAAGATGGACGAATTACGCCTCGAATAGGCGAAACGTCTGGAAATGTACCACGTCCATGGTCCTACTCTGGAAATGATGATGCATACAATGGACTTTGGACTAGGTGCGTTCCACTAAGTTTTCCTATCAATATAATAAGTTGCGAAAACAAGGTCAAACAACTACCAGTATAAGACAGATTATCAGGCTTTTCGACTTGCTAGTTAGTATATCTAATCTATTTTTAATACAAGCACGTCCAAGCTACCACTTCAATTCGGAGCTATGGAAAGAGACTTCTTAAAATGACATCGATTTTGCCTCAGGTATTCCTAAATCCTTGATAAAAGAGTTAAATCTAGACAATAAAAAAAATTTTGATCAATTTTGATAATTTTTAGTTCCTGGAAAATGATCCTTAATATGAATTAATTAGATTATAATGGAAAATTGACTACTATGTGTTACTAATTTCATAAGTAGGTTTTTCAGGACTAACATTAGGTCGAAATTGCAGTCCACTCTGGATAAAAATAGCTTTTGGGTAGCAAGAATGTCAAATTTAATGGGAACTTAAGTCCTGCTCATATCCTTGTGTGAAAATTCAATTACTAGTCCTTCATCACTGAATGAAACAGAGTGAATACAGCTCTTACTATATGTTACCTTTAGCTTGAAAATATTCAACCTTTAGTGGGATTAAGTAAGTCCGACAATTGGCGCCAGCAAACCACAAAGTAGGCTTAGTAGAAGCGTAGTGACCTGATTGGACATTCGCCAAAAAATAATTTGTAAGTTCTGAAATTGTTAGATAACTTAGCCTTGACAAAAAGAATCAAGAAACTTAAATATAAATAAGAACTGATAGGTTGAAAAGATGATGAAGTTATATTTGACATTTCTAGCAATGATATAAAAAGGCTTCAGGATCCCAATGAATCTAACGCATGTGCCTTCTAAAATGTTTTCTCTGGGAGGAAATGCAGATTCGCTCTCGCATAGGTTTCACCAGTACCATATTGTGCAAATTTTCTTTTCTACATATTACTACTATGTCACATTCCCACGGATGCAAGTGAATCACAGAGCAGGCATGACTTTCAAGGCAAGCCATGCCCCCTCCACATCACAATTATAGTGGGAATCTCTAAGTTTGTATTTGTAATTACAATCTACCATATTCATATTTTTTACGCTGATACTAACAGCGTATTGTGAATAAGAATATTTATATCATACATTATAAGTGAAATGATTCCTTTGTAGGCTACACTTACATTAGCCCATCTAAGCTGAGAAATCGGTCACAAAGGACGCTATACATTTAATTAATGAAAGAGGATTTACCATAAAATTGTTAAATTTATCTGAATTTTATATCCCTCTTGTGGTTCAGATTCAATGAGGTTGTTCAAAACCCAGGTCAAATATATTTAAAAAAAAGCAGTATTAAGCATAAGTAAAAAATATACCATATTATATAAGTAGAAGTATTTTTAAGTAATGTCTTACCTCCATAATTATGGCTAATGGAGCATTCGGCTTTGGCTTCAGAGATAGGGATGAAGTGGAGGCTAAAAATATCAGATGAAAAGAGGTCACTAACAAATTAGTCAGACATTGGAGGTTCAGTTGTATAATCTCTAAACAAAATTGTCCGAACAAGAGGTGAAAAAAATCCATTTTTAACCTATAATCTACCTGGCCCAATAGACGCTTTATGTTCACTAAGTCCGCTTTGCTTAAAATTTGAATGTCACAAAATGGCACACATTTTGACTAGTGGAATGTAAACAAGTGAAAAGTTGTGATAGGGCGAGAGTTAGATAAGATGGTAAAGAGTAGATAGATAAGCTAGGACAGAAAGAGGAATGATAGTGTAACCGATTTTGGCAGAAAGTTTGTCGAGGCAATGACTTCACTTGTTTCTTTGACGAGTATGTAGCTTGGTGCGAAAATTGGCAAAACTCGCTGATAATGCAGGCGAAACGTTTGAGAATGTACCAAGTCCACTGTCTGATGCTGGGAATCATGACAAGCACTATGGCAGACGACTTCGGACTAGGTGCGTTCTACTAAGTCGCACTGACAACAAGACCAAGTTGCGACAGCGAGGTCAACCCAGTTCTATAAATCGAAATGAAACTGCGACCATACCAGAGACCATAACATCTTGGTCCTCATATCTTCAATTAAACTACGGTAGTGAAATTGCCAAACAATGCACTGAATACATACGAAGAAAAGTTGGGTTTCGAGGAATCTCTTGTTTCATAATTGTTGGGATTACTTCCATTT